CGATTCTGCAGGCTCATGTTGTAAATGCACATACAAACACACACACACATACAACGGATCTGTACCAGATGAGAGAGAGAGAGAGAGAGAGAGAGAGAGAGAGAGAGAGAGAGAGAGAGAGAGGAGAGAGAGGAGAGAGAGAGAGAGAGAGACTCCACCAGCACTAGTATAGTGGTATTGGTACTGTGTATGCCAGTTGGGAGAGCCCCTGGGATCACAGGTTCGAGTCCTTGTCGGGTCTTAAAGTTCTTAGTGATTTATTAACTTTGAGAATATAATTTATATATACATATAAAACTGCACGTAACATTACACTACAATGTAGATTTAACAATAATAAATAGATAAATAAAACACACACACACACACACACATATATATATATATATATATATATTATATATATATATATTACAGAAAATAATTATTTACATTGCAAATCCGGTAGAGACGTTACAGAAAACTATAATATAGTTTGTCAAGAGGTGAGGATGTCAAAGGGTGAAGGGTGTCAACGAGAGAGGGTGTCAAGGAGAGAACGGTGTCAAGAGGTGACGGGGTGTCAAGAAGTGAAGGGTGTCAATGGGCGGAGAACCTGTTGACAATTTGATGACATATAATGATATATTAACGCCCGCCTTGCACTGAGGGGCTCTTACGGGCTATTCATGCCCGTGCCACCTCTTGGGTGGCTTAATCTTTATCAATCACTGAGGGGCTTCCCTTACACCAGGGGGAGTTAGTGACAGATGGTTACCAGGGAAGATCATTAAGAGTGAAACAAGGTGGTTACTCACTCGCTAAGAGTGAAACAAGGTGGTTACTCACTCGTTAGGGTTGCTGTTGTTGTACTTGGCTGCCAGGGACCTCATGAGATCAGAGCAGTTCCTGTTCATTAGTGACTCCATCTGTTTAATGGCGCCGGGTCCGCCCGGAAGCCCGCCCACGCCGCCCAGTGGCGCGGGACTGAAGCGGTCGTAGGCGGAGGGGATGGCCGCGGGAGGCGTGAAGGCGGGATTGGGCGGCGTGCCGGGGAAGGAGGGCGTGCGGGTGCGGTGTGAGGCGGGGGACTTGGGCGACACGGAAGGGCTGGGCGTGGCGTGGGCGGCGTGGGCGGGGGCGTCACTCCCGGGATCGGGAGATAATCTCTCGGACTTGACGTCGCTCGAGGAGTCCGAGGGCATCTTGTCCTCGGCTCCGCGGAGGCCGTTAATGGGTACCTCGCGCCGCAGCTTCCTGCGGCCCTTGGCGCCGTACGCTGCGGCAGCCGCGGCGGCCGCAGCGTGTTCCTTGTCTTTGGTGAGGGGCGTATTGTTGTTGTTGAGGGCCAGGTCCTGGGCGGTCTCCGTCTCCGTCTGGTTACCTGAAACAAGATAATCTCGGGTTAGAAAACTACAATCTCGGAAACAAAACTATCAGGTTTTGGGCCATATTGCCTGTTTATACAGAGATATTGAGGGGGGGATGATATCTTTATCCCCCAAGGCTCGTTCAGGCCTGCGACAGTGGGAGGGGGAAAGGGGGGTCGCGGCCCATAGGGGGAGGGGGGATTGACGGGCAGGAGGATTGGGGGGGGGAGATTAGGGATGGCGGCACGCGCGTGTTCAGTAGCACGCGCTACCAACGCCCTGCGCACGCCTTCTCTCTGCAGTCTAACACACGAAGATTTAACCCCGCATAGGAAAGCGTGTGTGGGTGTCGGGGTAGGGAGGGGGGGAGAGCTGCGGGATTGAGCCGGGGCATGCCGCAGGTGGTGTCCTGACCTCTGCCATGTACTGACATGTCCTCGCCCCAGGGACACACATTAGCTGGGTGTGGGGGGTGGGGGAGGAGGGGAGCACAACCTGCCCTCTGCCCCATGGCGGGCATCTCGTGCAGGAGATGGCCCGACCAGGGGGGGAGCAGGGGGTGGGGGTGGGGGGTTGAAAGGTGCAATTTGGTGGCGGTTCTGGCCTGGAGGCCGGGAGGGGGAAGGGGGGAGGAGGAGGAGGGGGAAGGAGAGGGGGGGAAGCCGCCGCCAACGAGGGATTAAAGTGTCCAGTAGCGAGAGAGGCATCAAGTCACCCGGCGGCTGACCCTCCCTGGCATGTCATGGTGGATGATGTAGTGTCGCCTGGGTGGCATCTCCGGCCTAATCTGCCTCGGGATGGGGAGGGGGGGTGTCCTCAACCCACAACCACCCCCCACCCCCCACCCCCTACCCTTACAGCCCCATGTACCCTTGACCCCCCCATCCTTAGCTCGCTGACCTGCCACCACCCTGACCACTTTTTGTGTCCTGGCTGCCCGCCTCTGTCACCCCGGGCTCCTTGTGCCATGGAATAAGAAAAAAAAACTCCTAATGTTGAATATTTTCATCTTGAATGCTATAAGAAGCCCCCTTGATTTAACCCTCGTACGAAGCACAGGCTAAAAAAAACGCCTTGGGAGAAAATTGTGATAACTAATATCAAAGCTGGTAACTCTATGACGTCAGTTACTTACAACCAATCACACGTTCGAGCCGCTCCTAAAGGAAAGCATCTTGCCGCTCATTGGCTCGAAGCATGTTCTTGAAGTCAGTGTATAATTAAACCTGTTTTTGTTTTTTGGTCTTATATATAACAAATATTTAAAATGTACAGTTTCCTTGTATCGATAAAATAAGCTCCATTAATAATGGCCTCTGCAGAAACGATAATATAATGTGATAGTAATAATTACAAGTTGTTAACCCATGCTCGTACACCTGGCAGGCCGGTGTCTGAGCCAGGGCGCGGGATGAAGACTAACAATCACTCAGAGTGTTGGCTTCGTAGTGGTCGGATCAACGAGCAGCTTCATCTTGACTTTTAATCGCTTCACCTCCATGGTTTTCAATGAGCAATCTACATTTTTTTGGGGTTTTAAATTTGAACTAATAAGCCCTATTAAAAAAAATTATATTAAGGGTCCCCGGCAATCAGAAGCAATTGACTGGAGCCCATCAGAGGAGAACCTTCACCCCGAGGCCTGGTCGACTCACCCTTGATCTCTCGGCCACCTAATTACACCCTCAGAATTATGGTTGTTATCGGGCCGTATCGGAATGCACGTGGGCGTGGTCGCTGCGGGCGGCACCTGTGGGCGTGGGTGGGCCAGGTCACCGCCGCCCACTTAACCCACCCACGGGGGGAGAGAGAGAGAAATTGAAGGGGAGGTTCTAAGGGAGTGGTATGAGCCAGGTGGCGGCGTAGCAAAAAGGAATGAAGCTATATTTCCAACCCCGTAAACTGCCTCTATGCAATAATTTCCTGCAATTATCTCCGGTCTCCCGAAGGGGGCCATAAGCTCCTGTCTCGTAACTACCGGGGCTGCAGGGCACCGACGAATGAACGAAACTGAAGGTATTTTTAACCTTTCTTCTTATAAACGTTGCTCGATAACACACTCGCAAATGTTCACACGAACGTTGCCGAACATTTCCAGCAACGTTTTGTGTTTGCTGGGAAGGCCTGCACTAAGCCTATACGAGGCAGATTCTACCCCACACACACACACTTTTCACATCGTTTGAGTCATGTTGCAGACTGGTATATTTATATCTACCAATACGAGACCCCCTATTGTGGGACTCAAAGCTTCACCTGTAGTGTTTAAATAGAAATAAACCAGATATATATATATATATATATTGGTGTATACTGGCAGCAGGTTTTCTTTCAAACATGTTTCATTGAATATGACCGCATATTCTGTATTTATTATTTTCTGGTTTAGGGCCTCTATCCCTCTAACTATTTTCTTAGCATCAGGGCTTAATTGAAATAGGAGTTCTCCAAAACTCATTTTCGTACTTTTAAGGTGAAGAAAAGAAGTGATTTACTATAGAGTGTATTTACACTTATTTGTATAATTTGCACGACGTTTCGAACCTCCATGGTTCATTCTCAAGTGATCAGATCTTACAATACTAGTTGATTTTATACCCGCATTAGGTCAGGTGATAATACAATGAAGGTGAAAAACATGGGGGGATACATAAGTGAGGTGAAGCATAGAGGCTGCAGAAGGCGTATTGGCCCATACGAGGCATCTCCTATCCAAACACAAAGATTAATCCAGTGTAATTGGCCTGTTATGTTGGACATTGTTTCTGTGTTGGTATCGATATGTTCTTGTCTTGTCCTTACTCTCATGGTTGGTAGAGTAAATAGTTCCGTGATTTGGGTGTTCATGGTAGGTCGCTCTATTCTTATGTGAATTGCCTCAAGAATTTGTAATCTTCTTGAATCTTGGGTTTTGTCTATTATGCAAGTATTCTTGTTCAACATTTCTCTTGTTAGAGTAATGTCATGGGCTTGTCTCATGTGATTCCTAGGGCACCAGATTGAAGATGGCATGTCAAACGCCTCGTCAGCTTGGTCGACGTCATACCTATGTACTTACATTGAAGGTTACATCCTTCGTGGGGGCAAGTGTACATGTATACAACGCTTGACTGCTGTAGAGGGTTCTCCGTCGGCTTCGGGCTGTTTTTGATAAGGAGTTCGGAAGTCTTCTTGGTTTTGTAGAATATTATCAGGGTATTACCCTGATAATATTACCCTGATAATATTCTACAAAACCAAGAAGACTTCCGAACTCCTTATCAAAAACAGCCCGAAGCCGACGGAGAACCCTCTACAGCAGTCAAGCGTTGTATACATGTACACTTGCCCCCACGAAGGATGTAACCTTCAATGTAAGTACATAGGTATGACGTCGACCAAGCTGACGAGGCGTTTGACATGCCATCTTCAATCTGGTGCCCCTAGGAATCACATGAGACAAGCCCATGACATTACTCTAACAAGAGAAATGTTGAACAAGAATACTTGCATAATAGACAAAACCCAAGATTCAAGAAGATTACAAATTCTTGAGGCAATTCACATAAGAATAGAGCGACCTACCATGAACACCCAAATCACGGAACTATTTACTCTACCAACCATGAGAGTAAGGACAAGACAAGAACATATCGATACCAACACAGAAAACAATGTCCAACATAACAGGCCAATTACACTGGATTAATCTTTGTGTTTGGATAGGAGATGCCTCGTATGGGCCAATACGCCTTCTGCAGCCTCTATGCTTCACCTCACTTATGTATCCCCCCATGTTTTTCACCTTCATTGTATTATCACCTGACCTAATGCGGGTATAAAATCAACTAGTATTGTAAGATCTGATCACTTGAGAATGAACCATGGAGGTTCGAAACGTCGTGCAAATTATACAAATAAGTGTAAATACACTCTATAGTAAATCACTTCTTTTCTTCACCTTAAAAGTACGAAAATGAGTTTTGGAGAACTCCTATTTCAATTAAGCCCTGATGCTAAGAAAATAGTTAGAGGGATAGAGGCCCTAAACCAGAAAATAATAAATACAGAATATGCGGTCATATTCAATGAAACATATATATATATATATATATATATATATATATATATATATATATATATATATATATATATATATATATATTATATATATATATATATATATATATCACTAAGAACTCTTTGACCCGGCCAGGATTCGAACCCATGCCGTCCAGGATCACCCCTAAACGTACAAAGTACCGTGACCACCGCACCAATGATCGTCTATATTACATTGTCAGTGATACGTTATGTTTATCACTAGATAAAGGCAGTTGGCGGTAGTATCTGCACTCACGGGCACTTTCTGTGACTTTTGTTGGCCGTCAGCCATACAGTCGTTACACAACCAAACAGGATGGTTACAGTGTCCATATAGTCGATACAGCATCATCCCTTCGTTACAGCATCCAAACCGTCGTTACAGCACCCATACAGTCGTAAATAAACACATATACAACGTTATTCAACTGTAACAGAGATGGGGTCAGAAATAAGCTCTGCATCAGAGATAGCAGATCTACAAGAAATAATTAACCAGCCGAAAATGCAGTGAAACAGCCCCCCCCCCCTATGTCAGGTCTCACTGCATATATGTAGAGCAATTACGGTAGAGATTATCTGGAGTATGTTGCAACAGGGATTATCTGGAGTATGTGGCAACAGGGATTATCTGGAGGATGTTGCAACAGGGATTATCTGGAGGATGTTGCAACAGGGATTATTTGGAGGATGTTGCAACAGGGATTATCTGGATGATGTTGCAACAGGGATTATCTGGAGGATGTTACAGCAGGGATTATCTGGAGGATGTTGCAACAGGGATTATCTGGAGGATGTTACAGCAGGGATTATCTGGAGGATGTTGCAACAGGGATTATCTGGAGTATGCTGCAACAGATAAAGTGTGGAGTATGTTGCATCAAGGATGGTATGTAGTCTGTTAAACATCATTGTTATTAAAGCAGAAATA